TGAGACCCAGTTGTAAGGTGTTTCAAAGTTAGAGTCAAATGGCTGCTATTTTTTAGAAGACTTCTACTGTAGTTCCTAAAGTTTTATGACTGCAGTTGATATGGTAGTGAAGCGAGCACGAGCTTATTAGTGAGAGAGGGGTACTAAAAGAACTTCAAACTCAACCAGTCAGACAGCATTGAAGATGCTTTTGGAGCAATTATAACAATTAATGTAATTAATTAACTGGTTTATATGCCCTGTGCAGAGATTACATGCAATATATGATACAAATTCTTTCTCAATCCAATCAAATCCTTCTCTTGTGTCATTCATGCTTTGCCAGTGCTAAGCTTCTCTGGACCAAATGGTCAGTTATGGCTACTTTAGAAAAAAAACACCTTGCTTCTTTGTTTTCTCCCCAAATTTAAAACAAATAATAGGAAAGTTGACCAATCTGTTTTCCTTTCTCTATAAGTTTTGGAGGGCTATTCCTGGTCAAAAGCACTGAAGCATTTGTATTACTGATTTGCATTAAATTCATTCAGATGACGAAATATGCTAGCTTTGACAAGAAAATCTAAGAATGTGATTAAACTAGAAGACTTTGCAAAAAAAAAATGTTGATATCTTCACTTAATTCAAACACTCCTTGTAACACTTTCCTCTTGATAACTTGTGTGCATATTGTGCTCTTTTCCCATTTCTCTACATAAAACTTTGAGTTATTTATTATTCAGTGCATTAGTATTTATAAAGTTTGTATTTTAACTGTTCTCGTCAAGTGTCTGCTGTTGTTATTTGTGTGACTGTGACAACCAGAGACCTCACATGAGATCAGGGCTCAGTTGTGCTAGGTGTTGTTCACTAAGGCTATGTACATTCAAAAAGCCTGAGGTAGAATCAATCTAAGTTAGAGGGTTTTCTGTAAGCAGCGTAGTTTAGATCAGTAGTGAACAGGACACATATTTGCCCTTTGGAGAAAGCGGGGTGGGGCACAAACCTCAGACTGGATTCCACCATTTTTAAACCAGTCTGTGTGTGCCAAACTTCTCTTCTGTTATGGGTATAAACCATTTTTGTTTGCTAAATTTCTGTTGTGTTACAGGTATAGACCGATTTCCAATCAGTTATACTGGTAAAAGTGTAATATCTGTACCTGGCCTATAAGACAGTTCCTTCTCTAGAGACCTTGCAATCTCAGTCCATAAAACAGATAAGAAATAGTAGAAAGAAAATATTATGCTCATTTTACTGTTTAAGACCTGGGAGATAGAGGGCACATCTACACATGCATTAATGTACCATAATTACAGGTACTAACTACAGTACCTGTAATAACAATGGGTACTAAATGCGTGGGAATCAGCACTACTGCACAGTAGCGCTGGAGCACATATTTTAAGTGATGCTAATGCACAGTAGACTAATTCTACTGTGCATTAGTATGGCTTTCACTGTGATGCACTAATGTGCAATAGAATTGGTCTACTGTGCTTTTAGTGTCACATCTAGACACACCCAGAGAGACTAAGGGACAGATCCCCTTCAGTGGAAATTTAGGAGCCTATATAAGAATAAAGGACCTAAATACCTTTGTGGAGGCCACAGGATGTCTTTGTCAAAATCAGAAAGCCTAAATCTCGTAAATCCCAAGGCCTACAGTATAAATGTTTTCTATACTAGTTTGTAAGTCAGGAGCATGAAGAATGACATCGAATTGCCAGCATAAAGCTCTATTGTGGCTCCAGTCATGCAAAACTGTTTTTTTAATGGTATAAACAAAATGAGGTGTGTTACTACAAGCACTGTTTTATCAGTGCCAGCTGAATCTATGCCAGCAGTATTTTACTGGTGTTGCATATAGTTATATTGGCAAACTTTTCTGGTGGTACCTTGTCTTTTGTCCCTTATCTCAGTAGTTCCAAACATTGTTTATACTGTGGACCAGCACAGGAGCAGAACGGAGCGCATGTAGCTGACTGTCTCCCACCCTCCCTCCGAGGGCTACCCCACTGTCCAGCCCCTGCATTTGAGTGCCAGCAGATGGGGTCCAAGTGGGGTCTTGTGCCACAACCTGGCATCCAACCCTTTGCAGCCCAGTACCAGGTCACGGCCCAGTGGTTGGGAACCTCTGCCTTATCTAATGCACAATCCTACTTTGCTCACTGTAAACTTCTGCAAACTTTATTTTTTTTAATAGAAAGAACTTCTTGGTACAGTGAGTCCATTCCATGCTGCTGCTACCAGTTGCAAATTATGCCATGAAGTTTCTCCATCATTCCCACAGCTTTATCACTTATGATTACCTGTGATGCTAGTTTTCATGCCATCACAGCGTCTTGGAATTCCATAAAGTTATCCATTGACTTAAAAATCCTGGCAAATTGTTTATGAAGAAGTTATTCACAGAGTAGCAGTTCTTCACAAATATAATTTATTTTAATATAATTTCCACAGAGCATGTCACCTACTAAAAATAGCACAAGTGGACATAGCAGTTGATTCATTCAGATTAATTGCCAGGTTTACACTATATAGTACTTGTTTTATTGAATGAAGCTTGAAATCTATGGACCTGTCATCACATCTGCTTACTGTGTGATTTGAAGACATTTCTGTTTATATGCAGCAAATTTCCCAAATATTTCCTTAATAAACTCAGTATCAGTTGGCAGTGCCAGTGCTTTTGATGGTCAGAGCCACTTACATTTTGTAGTTCTATTAGTTGTTTTCTTTGTCTTTCCAGAAACGGAAAGGAACTGGATGAGATTTTTTTTCTTCCCTTACAAGATTTTTAATTACCGTGGAAATACTTGTATAGCTTGGACTTATCTTCCCCTTGTTTCTTTTATGAGGGGCAGATTGTGCACAGTCTTTAACGTTAGGGAAGGCACTGTACCATTGCACTATCTGCATAAAGTGAAAACTCTATTGTAGTCTCTGTACTCATGGAAATACATGGATTATTCCCTGTTTTTCCTTTTCAAGGCCCCTTTGTAACAGCCTCAGGACAGTATTGGCACAGTTACGGCACATGATGAAGTGATCAAGCCGGAATTTTCCTTAAGACAGAATTCCTTCCTGAGCAACACCAATAACTATTTTGCTCTGTAGTGTTCCTGCTGCTGAGCTATTCATAAATGGCACAATTAATCCTTGCCATCACGTTTTTCTGATGCAAATACCTGAGGTTAAGCACCTACATCCATAGTTACACATCTGATTAAAATGGTGATACTTTCCAAGAGCTTTACATTCATTCATAAATTGCTGGTTACTTGGAAGGGTGCTAGAGTACCAGGCTCTGGTTTTGAGTGGTGTGCACTATCTGTGCTTATGCTGCTCCGTTTTTTTTTTTGCATGGTATTTTTTTAACTGAGGTGTTTGGAACTGTATCATGGGAATCATGTAACACTGGCTATAAGTGTTGTAGTCCAGCCAAGCAGTACTTCAGGTCATCATGCTCCTGAATGCCAGCTCTTTTAAGACAATGTGCCAAAATGTTGCAATGATGTGAAATGAAATTAGTTAGATTTGGAGACTTCAGAAATGTTTTGCCTAAAATGAAAATGTCAGAAATGTTTGGATATTTCTGAATTCAAATTGTTTACTTCCATTCTATGGAATATTTTGAAATGTCAACATTTTTACTAATTTGGAATGAAAAGAAATTTTGAAATGCCAGAACTATGCATGGGATCCTAATTACAGTTTTTACCTAGCTCTAAAAAAAAAATACAGTTGAAAATTGTGAGGCTATTTATTGACTGAATAGGTTGTGTAACCCTAAAATAAAACATATTGTTTTATCTTTAGGGTTTTTATGTTAAATGTATTTAAGAGTATAGAAATTGATTCCAAACTAATGCTATAAAATGGAAAATACAGATAAATTATTTTGAATAATGAAGCAATATATTCAGTAATTCAAATTGTTTAAAATGGTGCTTTTTACGGGGAGCAGGAGATAAAAACTTTTCAATGAATTCAGCAACTTGGTCAATTAACACAACATTTTTCTAAAACATATACAAATATTGTCCCCATCTACATAAGTACCTTAGATTAAGAGATGATACTATAGTAGATACCAGTGATTTCTCTTGTCTTTAGTACGTTGGCTATGCGTGGGACAGAGGGAATAAGGCTTCCATTGTATGTAGGCTGAAAAGTGGCAGCTCAGCTTTTTTTCTCTCATTACTGTGGCCTAATAAATTTAGACCTTAATCCTTGATCGTTCTAAGCAAGACTGGAGATGCTGCTGAAATATAACCCTCACTCATTCATGAACACTATACAAGCACTCAAGCTTGTGAATTTGCAGAGTAGGTGGCTCCTCATTCATGTACCCCAGGACCATGCTCAGATTCTCTCAATTCAGAACTTGAGTCTGACAGTCTGAGCCTGGTGCTGGGGTGCACATTTTGGGCTCTGCAGACTTGTTTGCTTTTCAGATCTATGCATATGAGGAGTGGCCACAAGTGAAGGGAGTTTATTTCTCAGTGCCATGTCTGGTCTCTTGTAGGGCGCAATGTAGACATATCTTATTTTTTCTATGTTCCGCTGCTCAGAGGATTTTTAACACTACCTTAGTTAAATACACTCCATTTGCAAGGTCTAACATTCTGAAATATGGGCTTCTTTTTTTTTTCTCTGAGAGAGAGAGTGAATGTCACACCAGTTGTGCCTGCTGGTTAACAACACAGCAAAATACTTTACACTTAACAACCAGCATCTATAGATGCTGCAGATTCTCCACAGGCCACATTGAGAGGTGTAAACCACTGGCATTCTGATTTGGGATTTTTTAACACATGCTTTTCATGAATATAAATAATAATTATCCAAGTGCAGGTCAGAATAAAGAATTTCTATGACTAGCAATAAACAAAATGTTTGTGGGGTTAAAGAAAAAAAAAGACTATAAATTTGTAATAAATAAATAAGGAATATTTTATCACTACTGATTACTATGAAAGTGGCATACTGTTTAAGTATGGATCACTCAGGTTACTGACCAGACATTCTTCAATGCAGCATGTTCTGTCTTGCTTGGGAAACACAGTTCTCCCTTCACAAAGAAAATAATTTCATTACCAGTAAACCTAAATAGTATTCTTATCACAAGCACACTTGTTAAATCCTTGCAAAAGGTAGTATATTTTACCGGATCATTTTTAATATGTTCTGGCTGAGAAATATCAACATAACTCTTCAGATGAAAGGTGGTTCCAGTAATGCCTGATGTCTAGGCAGCATTTGTAATATAAACCATGAGAAGCCTGTGGTTTAATGGCCACTAATTTATGTTGAATTTATGATGCATGGGAACCATTAGAAGTAAGCCGCTTTACATTAGATCATGAAGAATAAGGTTTCTGCCAGTGATGGGTTGTTTTATTTCTTGATGTCACATAAAAAATATGCCTGTTTCAAAAGCTGAACAAATTTTGCCATAAACTTCAGTAAGATGGTGCTAGATCACTGTTTTTTCCCCAGCAATATTCATGACAAGATTTTATCTTTTTTTTTTCTTAATATTCAGAAGATCTTGAATATTGGGCCATATCTTCCACTGCATACAGTAGACTAGAATATGCCACTAGCTGTCATTGCCTTTCTGGTCCATGCAAAACTCAGATACTAAAACATCCTTGCCCATCTCTCTGACTATATTTTTCTTTCTCACTGCATCAATTTCAGGCTCTTTGAACTCACTTTTTTAACAGCTCTTATGTTCAATATTTAGACTTTTTATGAAAATATATCAATGAATGGAAACAGATTTTCTGCACAGACAAAAAAAGTCACAGTGGCTTCAGCTGATTCTGCAGCATATGAACAATGAATAAAATTGGCCAATTCAGAGGAAGAAAATGCCGTGTGACCCAAGAAAACAAGCTCACAGCTGGAGCACACCCATGAAAAGCTGCTCTGCTTTTTCCCCTCTTTGGCAGAAATCAAGAGAGTGTGTATGTCTTTAAGAATACTCATAATGGCTTGCACAATTTCAAAGGACAATATTATATTTTAATGCAAACCTGATGCATGAACTTATTTCTGATGACGACCTTGGAACAGCCTGAAAGTGCTTGCTCACTAAAGCACAAATGCCAAGCACATGTTTGGCTCTGCATGACTAGTCATTTATAAACAGATATGAAGTTCAGAGAACTGCTAGTCCTGAGCATTCAAAAATCATGAGATGTCTCCCTCCCCTCATAATGAAATTGGCTTTAAAATTATTAAATTAAAAAGTATTAACAACAAATGTGGATTGTTTTTGAGTCTTAGATTTTGAAATAATAGGGATTTGCTTACCATGTTTCCTCTGTAACCATGATGACTAGAAATTATTATTTTTATTTTAGCTGATCGTCTTGCACAATCACTTAACTGCAAGATAAGTGGCTTTAAGGCAGTGCTAGGCAATGTTTTTTGGCCAGAGTGCTGAAAAAAACACAATGTCTACCTTAGAAGGTGCTGGAGTGCCAACATGCCAGAGCCCGGAGCAGATATTTGCAACTGCTTAGAGCCCGAGCTGGCGGTGGTGTGCCAAGCAAAATGGCCTTGCGTGCCATGCTCAGAATGCATGCCAGGGATTGCAGACCCCTGCTTTAAGGTGCACATGTGCACATGTACTTCATTGTGGGACAGATTTTCTCATAATGGGTAAATTGCCCTTGCCCACCTCCTTCCAGCTCTTCAGCCTGAGAGAGCTGGATGCTGCAGTCAGCACCGGTGCTACCCCAAACAGACTTAACTGGTGGCTTGGAGCAGCAGGGGCACATGTTGAGCAACACAAAGAACTGGCCGGCAGCCAGAGTGTTGCTTGGACAGCCCAGCTTCTGTGTGTGCCAGCACACATGTGCATGTGCTGCACATGCGTTGTACCACTTCTTGCGCTTTTTTTGGTTTTGGTTTTTTGCTACTGGGAAATCCCAGGAGCACATTTGGGCCCTACACTGCAATTTTGCAGCAAAGAGGTTTGTGGTGCCACAAACCATATGTGCCTGCACATCTGAATGCACCCACGATGTATAGTGAGTAAACTTGGGTGGATCATATATACATGATGTTCAGGATAAACTCCAGTAGGGAAAAATATTAAAGGAAATCAGGTATGGAAAATATTCCAACATACATGTCCAAATTTTGTTTACAGAATAAATGTGTTATGTTTTGTATCTGCCCTCACTAACTGTCCTCTTACAGGATGGGATGGTATTATCAGACCTCTTAATAGGGTGCATTAAGCTTAAACAGTGTATAATAAGCTTGACAGGAAGAGGAACAGATGAATAGAGGAGAGAAGAGGAAAGAACAGGAAGATAAGAACAGTGTGTGGATGTGTGTGAGGGAGGGGTGAGAGTGTAGACTTTCTTAAATGTTTGATTCCTTAGAAGCTCAGGTTTCAGTAAAGGCTCCATGCTAGAGTTCAGGCTAGTGACACAAAACTATCCAAATTTTTTGCAAAAGGATTTGAAGGAGGAAGGTAAGATTATTTGGTAGAAAGAAAGAAACTGTTCTTAGATACCTTTTTTCAAACATTTTTAAGCTGGAAAAAAACAGCTTAAAATATTATTGATACCACAGAGATCTCAGGAGAGAATGAGTCATATAGGGTCCTTAACAGTTACCTTGCTTCAAGTCTTGTTTGATCCGAAAGGAAAAATAATTAGGGTAACTTTTAAGTAACATGCCATTATTAAAGGGACTCCATCAATATGCACTGGTCACATTTTTAAGCTGTCTGAAAAAACAAAGATCCTCAGTCATCTGATATAGATTTTTTTATTGTTTTTCTGCTTTTGTCAGTTTGCCCATTTTAAGTATTCACTAAGAAAAATGAAAGCACTCGTGCTGGCATGATTACATTAATATAACATTCTGCATTTGCACATATAAAATCTTGGGTGCTGAAAACAAGCACATATAATTTCTTCTGTTCGTATTGTAAAAGATGTTTCTAATCAACAGAGTGTAAATTCAAAGACAATGGACTAGATCTTCAGCTAATGGAAATTGGTCCAGCTTTGAGTTCAATAGATTTTGCTGATTTATATCTGATGAGGATCTAGGCTGGTATTTTGATCTTGCTAACACTGATTTTATTCTTTTGCAAAAACATGCAGATGGAAACAAAAATGTAGGCATCAGTTCTCTATTCTAGTAGTTCAATTATGCCTTCCTCAGGCAGGTAAAATATAAAATAATCTATTTGAGAACATCTTTTAATCCACTATGAATCAGTTACATTCTTATTAGAGTATTTGAAATGGGAAACAGGGAAACATCAGTTGCTAGTTTGAACAATTGGCAGCATCTACAGCTCCTGAAAAGCTAACACTATAGTTGCCAAGTGTGCTGTTTAGATTTAAGAAGTGTATCACCATATGTACAATTTTATGCACCTCTCCAGTAATAATGAGGCAAACCTGTGATTCAATTCTAACAGTTACAGTACTTGGGCATTCGTCTCTAAATACTAAACATGTCTGTGTTAGCCAATTCATCTCATACCCAAGTTTTGTTTTAAAATGGCTTCTTTTTGCATGTCTTCATGCTATATAAAGGCTCTTATTTTCAGCATATGGACAGCAATCTACAAACACTTTAGACCTTCACCCACTGTTCAGGTTTGGTAACCGTTTTTCTGGCACTCACTTCTGAATTCAGCATAGTAACTTAGAGCATGTTTACACCACGGTGGCCTCATATTGTGGCTGGGACTTTCCTGAGGGCACTGTACACATCCATTCCACCTCATACATTTCAAACCTGAAAATGCACAAGTGAGGCTTCTCTGATGCATGGCCACTCTTAAAATGTCAGTCTCTAGCATACTTGAGAGCAGCCACCATCACCCAAATCATAAAATGAGCATTAGAGCAGTTTTCTGGAAGATAGAGTTTGAACCTTCTTGTGGAAAGGTTGACCTAGGCTTCATGTCTTCCACTTCCTTGACAAGTACTCTAACGAGTAAGCTATTATACAGAATATGAGCACTAACATCCTTTTTTTTTGATTCACAACAGCTTTAGTTGATGTGCTTTGTACTGACCTCAGTGTGTGAGTTTGGCATTTATGAAGCCTAATGAATCAGGCCTCTCTGGGAACTTCAGCAGCGTTTAGGTGATTCTGGGGGCATCTGCACGTGCACTTTACTGCAGAGCTGACATTCACTCTGCATTAAAGTGTCACTGTCTACATGTGTGGCGCTATTAGACCAGAGTAAACTAATTAACTTAACTTTAGGATAGTACTTCCTGACACAAGTACTTTCCTATGGCAGAGTTATTTACTCCACCATAAAGTACATGTAGACAGTGCCTAGGGCAGGCTGGGACATGGGGGAGCTCCAGTACGGGGGCTGCCTGTAGCACCCTCATGCCCCAGCTAGCACTTCCACAGCATGTTGAGCCAAGATGGAGCAGCTCCGGGCTGGCAGGCTGACCCCCGATACCTGTTGCCTGCTGAGGGTGGGCAGGGTAAACGCTGAGCCTGGGAACAATAAACTCTGGTGTGAACTGTGCTGGAATGTATTCAGTCAAATTAATTGCACGCGTAGAAGCACCACTCTTCTAGCTCCACTCTCCATCAGAACAGATACAAGAGCTAGTTTCTTTACTGCTCAGACCAGGCCCATTTTGAGTATATGCAAAAAACTCTAAGTTTAGAAGCCTGGGGAACCTTTCAGTCTAAAATACAGGGGTTTAAGGGGTTTTGCAGGCACTGAAGTAGGGTTGATTTGGATCACATTTTATGAACTGGGCACCTACATTTCACTACTGTCCTACTTAAGTGCCAAATTTACAGGTTTGATCTGGCCCTTACCCTCTAACATAGATTGGTAATTAGCAACTTTATGCTCTAGCACTGCTAATCATTAGTTAAAACATGGAATGGAAATTACCTTAAGTAAACACTTGTCCATTAGTGTTTGTTCCATATAGGTGTCAAATAGACAATTGCAGCAGGTTCAGCACTATGAAACCAAGGCCGCTAGAAGACATTTCTTCCTTCATGTAACAGGCAGTATCACCCAATGGAAACTCTCACAGTGTGTCATCTGCTTCACGTTCAAAGGGATGGAATGGAAATTCGTGTCTTGGCAACTTGCTCTGGCAGCGTTTGCCAGCAAGAGGATCTGGAGAGCTGCTGACAGGGGATGTCATCCATATCTGCAGCAGTGCTGGGAATGAGAAGTCACCTGATCTCTGACTGAGTGAAGGAGCTGCCCCCTTCGGCCCTGGTACAGATCCAGGGAGTCCCATGTGAATAGCAGGTGGGTGAGCAGGAACAGTGAGGCTCAAACTTTCCAGATACCTCATGAGGTGCTTTTACGTATGTTCTCTGCAGGCAGGTTTATGAACAAATTCCCTCCTCTATCTCTCCCTGTGTCGGACAAGTAAAACACTGTCCCTTGAATGTTTGTGTATACTTTGAGTTTCACAAAAAGGTGCTTAATGGCTTCTTAAAGCAGCAGACTTGAAGCTTGTTTGAAGAAAGTAGAGGCAATGAACCATGATATCTTCTGCTACTATTCTTTGGGACAGCAAAGTCATAAAGGCTGCTGACAGATGTGAAAAAAGGAAAAAAAAGCTCTTTATCGGAAGGGGCAGGGTATTGCATTTTTTT